CCTTTCCCCTCCACACGCCGGGAGACTGACGCCTGGGGCGGGCAGGAGCACAGGCGTATCCCACACCGCGCGGGGAGTCCGTCCCCCGGCTCCAGCTGCGACCCTCCCAATTCCAGAAGTGCCGGCCCAGCCCACACTCACCTCGGCCCCGGGCGCTCCCCCGGATCCTCCTGCCGGAAGTATGAAGACAGGCTCCGCCCTGCGCCGCTGGGAGGGCGTAGCTTCCGCCGGAAACCACTGAGAGGAGGGGCGGGGCTGGGTGCTCACACTCTTGGGGAGCACCCGACGCGGTTTTGTCTTCCTTGTAACCCTTTAATTCTGGGCCGAGCATCTAGGGTTTGAGTTGTGTTTTCTGCGCTCCAGGGGTGACTTGCCCTGAAGTCCTGGTACCTCCTAGTGACCTACAAACAAGTGAGCATCCAAAAAGGTCACCTGTCTACTTTTGCTAAATTGTTTAGGTCCAGTACAGTGCTGGACAGTCGTAGAATGGCCACGAAAATAAATCTCTCATGGACTTTTTCTTCTTGGAGCCCAAGCCAGTGAGGAGTAATGTCAGGAGCATTAAATTTTGACCTAGAAGACTCAATTAGTAAACATTTGTGAAGCACTTTATGCCTGAAGCTTTATAATAATTACCTAATTTCAAGTAATTGAACAGTGCTGGGTGTGGTGGCGCAAGCCTGTAATCCCAGCACTCGGAGACTGAGGCAGGCGGAGCGCTGAGTTTGAGGCCAGCCTGAGCTACATGGTTGAGTTCAAGGCCATCTCGAACTACATAGCGAAAACATGTTTCCAGAGTCGAGTAGGGTAAGAGCATCGTAAAAGGGGGTGAGAAGGGAACCTCCTTTACTGGGAACCCGGGTTTTCATGAACAAGACCCAAGAAAAACTATGTCAGAGGTTCCTAAGGGCAGGTTGAAGTGGCCTCAAAATGCTAGCTGGGGACATTTGATTCATCTTGCAGGACGGATTAAAAAGGGCAGTCATTTTTAAAGCAGGCGGGCTAGGGCTGCATGTTGAGGCTGTTTTGCCCTTCTAGCTTTTTCCTGGGTTCTGCACTAAAGGACTGGCTGCAAACATGGACCCTTGCAAATGACTCAGCTGGGATCCTGGCCCTATTGAACAGAAGGCCCAAGTGTAAGCAGTGCTTTGTGCAATTTGATGCTGTTGTCTCTGCCAGCTGGCGTTATGCAGACATTGGTTCATTCAGTGCTTACCAAGAACCTGCAATGGTACCCATCACTATTTGAGGTCTTGGCTTTATTCAGTCATCAAGGCCTGTATTGCATGTACTTTTTATACCTTTTGGAAGATTTTGTCCCCATCCCCTTCTCTCTGAGGCAAGAGAAAGTTACCTATTTTCATCATTTCCCTCATTTAAGCTGCCCAGCTACCAAGGCCATGGATTGCAGCAACAGCCTAAAGCACTGGTGGGAAGGCAGGGCACTAAGCACAGGTGACACACTGGCTGAAGAACATGTCTTCTTTGCAAGGCACAAGTACTCGAGCTGTTCCCCAGCTGTATTTTTGGCAGGAGAAGAGGGAGAACATGTTCACGAGGCGGTACAGTATGCCTTTCCCTGCTGTTTTGAGTATGTGGTGGGGGTAAGGTGGACAAGAAGGAGGAAGGTGACCAAGGGCTCCAGCTGGAGTCTCTTAGGCACAGTGAAATGTCAGGATGACTCTCTACCCTTGGGCAGGGAGCAAGTGCAGACGAATAGCTATTAATTGAATCAGTCTGTACAGGAAAGAGTATTTATTGAAAACATGGTTACTGATAGGAAGCTTCTGTTGCTTTCTGGTTACACTGTTGGCTCACGATTGTGAGCATTACTCCCACCCCCAAACATTCCATCCTAGGATAGGTAGATGTTATATAAATATATATACATGTCTGTATAAGTATGGCCTATAGTAAAGAAAATATATAGTACACTCTTCATTGGGTAGTACCTACCATGCCAGGCTACAAATACTGAATGCCACTGTGTTAACTTATGTCCAAGGAGAGAGGCTGTGCATGTGGTTCGAGTGCTGCAGCACCAGGGAAGCCCCATGGCACAAGTGTGGCCTCAGCTGGCCTCAGCCAGCTCCCAGAAATCAAAGCCAGTGGCAGAAACCACAGCAGGAGGAAGGAGAAGAAGGGAAGGCAAACTTCCTGGAGTCTGGAAGGCCAAGAGAAAACAACCTAGGTGGAGCTGCAATTCAGGTTAGTGGAAGATTGCTCTCCTAGGAAGGAAAAGATATAAACATGGATTGGGGCTGGAATCTAGTGACCTCACCACAGTCTAGCCCTGGTCTCAGCTGGGCTTTCCCTGCAGCGTTCCTAGAGATTAAGAGGACAGGATTTAGCCTGTAGGGCTCTGCCTGGCCAGCATGAGATGGAGAGGTTGTAAGGAGAACATTCCATCTGCCCTGATACCTGCATGAGCAAGAAAAGAGCTGATAGTTCTAGAGACCAGAGATGTTAAAGCCAAACCTCAGAAGCAGCAATATCTTGGCACCAGATGAGGCTAGAGTGAGCCTTCACAAAGAAGACGAAAGCAAAGGCCCAAGACCTGCACTCAGATCTGAGCCACGGGCATGAGCCACCCAAAGGCCGTCACTCCAAGGCTCTCAATACACCCAGCAAACTGGTCCTCTGCAGACAGCCAAAGGCCAGTTCTGGCTCACATGGGGTCCGGCCAAGCAGAAAGCAGGCTCAGGAAGAAAAGGAAGATGACTGCTATTAAACCCAGTTCAAATTGCAGTTTGGGGCCTGGAAGGCAAGGGCACCCACTGTTCTTTTCTAGTGGCCCAATCCCAGGCTTCATGGTGACAGGGCAGAGAACCCTGCCTTTATGACTCCTAGTGGACAGGGTCCAAGAGGAATGCTGCTGGGTTTGAAGAATGGCTGGTGTTCACGGCCACCGTGATTACTATGGATTCTGTACAAGCAAACGACAAGGCACCAGACTGTCACTCCTGGGCCCCAATCCATTCCTGGGTACTGTGGTCTCTGGTTCCAGGCTCAGCCATAGTGATACACGAAGTCATAACTGCTGGGCTCCTTGGGCACAGGTGGTGGCGCTTCGGGAATCTGGATGTTTTCCAGGTCGAGGAGCCGCAGCTTCATCTCCATGCTCAGTAGCGTGTCCAGGTCACTCTTGGTCAGCTCGCTGGACATGTCCTTCCCAAGAAGGGCACTGAGGCCATCGATCCAGATGCAGTACTGTGGGAAGCAAGTTGCAAAATGTTATATGGTAATCTCAGGGCTGCAGATCCTGCCAAGGGGTTCTGACCCTTTTGGCCCTGTTCAGACAGAAAGAACTGATCTGGAATAATAGCAAAGAAACGGAGAGGCGATCATTAGTTTTTTAAGAGATCTGGTTTTTATGAGGGGTTTACATTAAAACTCCTTAAAATAATATAAAACGTGACCTAAAAAATGTAATGAAAATTGGGAGTATCACCTACCTGAAGTTACACAATCAGAAGTGATTGTGTTGGCCAGTGAATGCCAGCCACTCCCCCAAATTACAAAAGGAAGGGGAAATTTCATATGAGGTTAAAAAAAACAAAAAAAAAAAAGGATACAAACAGAACACTGAGTGATCTCAATTCTGTTTTAAAAGTGAATTAAAAATGGGGCAGGAGGGTGTCATGAGAAGGAAGAGCTCAGAACTCCATAACTCTTTCTGTTCCCTGTCTTGCTTCCCTCCTTTTTTCATGCCTTGCTCACCTGGTTCCCCACCTGCTCATCTCCTCCCAAAAGAACTTCACTGACAGCTCAGGCTCTTGCCTGTGCATCTCTTCTTCCAAAGCCTCCATTTCCCACTGAGAGTTCTGAGAGCGTAATAGGCCTGCAGAGCCCCACTACAGCTACTCAATCCAGTGTATTATTTTCCAAGTCTGCAATGGAATGTGAGCCCCTTGCGGGGAGCCAGGTCCATCTGGTTTCAAAGCCCAGGCAGGACCCCTACAACATATGACTGGGCACCCCAAGGAGGGAGGACCTAACATGTCTGTGTAGGCCATGGCAAAACTGAAGAGAGGAGGATTTTCCAAGTCCAAGGCAAGTAAGTCATCTCTAGTTGGCCCTATCTTTCTAATGACAACATACAGCTGTTGCTAAAGAGTAATGTGGAGAGCCTAGTGCAGGGATGAGAGCCCACTATGTGGTAGATCCAACGCTGTGGCCACCGGCCTATAGATGGTGTTCTGTGCAGTCCTCCCTCCAGCTGCTGAAGAGTCAACAGGCCTGTGTTGTCCAAGGCAGTGCTCACCTCATACTTATTTGGAGCGATGAAGTTTAAGGTCTCATCAGGGTCATACAGGATGGAGAAGGCCAATTCCAACACCTCCTACAGAGCAAAGGGTTTCAGTTACTTAGCACAATGGAATGGCCTGAAGTCTGCACACCAAAATTTCGGCCGAGTTCTAGTAATCTGGCATAGCACCAAATGTGTCAATTTAGATGTGACAACCCCACAGCCCTAGGCATGCATATAGGTATGACTAGGAATGAGGCCCGGCCTTAATCTAACTTATTAACACCTTGCCAAAATCATGCCTAAGATACTGTGATACTATACAGATGGGAGAAAAATTATTTCTAACACTCAGAACCCTTGAATGCCAGAGCTCATGACTGCATGAAATCCTTAAAGTTTTTATTCTGTATTACCAAGATGAAGACTTTGTCTTTCTATCATGCTGTAATTGGCACAGGAAACTATTAACAGCTTAAAACAACGTAATCAAGTTTGAAACTTTGTTTGAAACTCAGTTTGAAACAAGACTGCAAAGGTTGGACAGTTTGCACATCAACAAAAATACTGCAATGGATTGAAACAAATACAGTTTGCTTAAATACCTAAAACTCATGATAATGCTTTTAAAAAGCACAGAAAATCTGTATACCAGGGAACTAACTAGCTGTTTTAAAAGGAGGCACATATAAGAAGAATCAAGCATTTATCTTCTTTTCTTACATAAATGGCGCCATTGGGAAACTCACAGTAGATAAGGGCAAGTTTCTCCTCTGAGAAATGGTTCAGCTCATAAATAAAAAGGCACAAGTGCATGAGAACATCAGTAGTTTGCAAACCTTAACTTACTAATGGAATGAGGCAGCGAGCAGCAACAGTCTGCTGACGTGACACTTAGACGTTACGGGCCTCCGGAGAGAACACAATACTATCTACGACGTGGTCTTACCAGAAAAAATGTTAAACCCCAACCAAATCAAACCTCTAGATCCCTCTACCAATTTACAGATCTGGGGCAGAGGAACAAGTTAAACTACTCCATAGGGAGATAGTCAGCAAAATCTGGACTCTGGGAAACTACTAAACAAGCAACCTGCTTTCTTCTTTCAACTAATAAACTGCAAAGAAAATAAGAGGGTGGAAAAGAAGGAGGGGGAACACATGAATGAATGAAGACTCAGACTCATCATAATAAGCAGACCTTACTTGAATTCGGATTTAAACGAAATGGGTATGGGTGCGCATGTGGGTGTATACATACCAACTTTGCACATTTGTTTATATAGAGAAATTATGACGTTCACGAGATAAATGGTGGACACTGAAACATGAATGAAATACTAGATGCAAAATAGCTTTTAATTTCCTCTTAGGTGTGCAAAAGGTATTACGGTTATGTTAACAGCTCTATATTTTAGATATTCACAGATGAAACGGTGTGACACTTGGAATTTTCTTCAAAGTCACAAGAAAGAGGAAGTGGATGGCAGCATGTACCATAGTTGCTGAGGCTGGGTGATAGGTGCACATGGTTCTACTTTTGTGTATATACAAAATTCCTCTTAACAGAATGTTCACTAATAACTTCAAGAGGGGAAGACAGTAAGAATCTACCTAAAAAGACAATCCCACCAACTGTACTCTACAGTTCGCCCTGTGACAGCCATTCAGGCCAGGATTGCTCTCCATTTACCTTGTTCTGTTTCAAAGCACTCTTCTCCTTCATGTGGGGACAATCTTTCCCAGTGACAATGGCCTTAATATCTGCAACAGGAACTGATAAATGCTGGGAATTAGTGTCTGGACACATATGCTGCAAGCTGGTCAGCTTTCACCTCATGCTGGAAGGGAAGTCTGGGGCAGGGTGCCAGGAAGCTGCAGCTCCCAGGCACTAAGGGCTCTTCCAGCTCAGGGAGGGTGGTCATGCAGCATGGCCTTGTACTGTTCCTGCCCCCAGTCATTTCTGGTCGACTGTGGTTTGATGAAGCTGTCAGAGCTCACTGAGTGTAACTGTGAGACCAGGCAGATGGTCTCTGACAGATGAGGAATCGAGTGCAGAGAGGTAACAAGCCCAAGAGCAGATACTCAGTTTGAAACAAGACTAAGATTCAGGTAGACAAGCCCTGCTATCTTAACACATCAACAGAGAAATGTACCTACTTTTCTCCTGCAAGGATTCGAATGTCACCTCCCCTTGAGGGTTGTCATCCAAGTCGCCATAGTGCAGGACCTTGTGGTTCAGTGCCAAGCGGCAGTACCAGAACCGTTCTGGAACACAAGCCAAGCAGGTGAGCTAGGAAAGCACTGGGAAAGGCCTGTGTCCACAAAGGGCAGGATGACAGAGGCCTGCCTGTTGTCTCCTCCTTCCAGGGAGGAGGGACCAGTGGGTGAGGACCAGGCCCAATGCCCACGCCCCTCTCACCTTGCCTCCGGCGATTCCCGATCTTTCGGAAGCTGCTGCCCTCACAGAGCCGGTTCAGGCGCTGCTGTTTGATTAGCTCAAGGATCTCAGGCTGGATCTTCTCCCTCAGCTCCCTAGGTTGGACATGCACCACAGTAAGAAGAAGGTCATGGGGACAACAGCAGAAGGAGCTGCCTTGAAGGCAGAAGTGGGGGCTGCCTCCCCAGTAGGCCTCTCACGGAGGTCACTTACACAATCGGTGGGGACTGGAAATCATCCTGACTCATCCTCTCTGACTGGCGCAGTCGCAGAATCTCAGAGTAGCTCAGGCTGCGTAGTTTGCTCTTGAACTGGTCCAAAGAGTTGGGTTTGGAGGGCAAAGCTCGAGTGATTTGCTCTCGAACTACTTGCATAACCTGAGGAAAAGAAGCAGTGACTCACACCACTGCTCTGAGAATGGACAGGACGACTGGAGACCAAGGCTCTCCCAACCCTGGTGTCTTGATCAAATACCCGCTGGGGGAATGAGTGCACTGACTCCCTAAGGGACATCTTGTTAGTGGTTACTTAGGTCAAGTGACAGATACTTTATTTCTCATATATTCCAATTAATCACTGGTATCAGGGAATAAGCACAAGATTTTTGGAGTCAGAGAGAAATGCGGCAGACCTTGACTCTGCCCTAAGGCAAATCCTTGGAAACTTGTTCCTTGAGCAAGTCACTTAACATCCCGAGGCCTCTATGCCCTCCCCTCTAAAGTGAGAGAAAGGAAGACGCATACATGTTCTGATAGCTCTGCCGTAAAGAATAGGGGATGTTACAGGGAAGGCCAGCACAGTGCCTGCGTGGTGTGGGGTGTTGAAAACTATGTCGGTTCCCTTGAAACAACCATTAAAAGCACAAAGTGGGGATACCTGTATGTACAATGTGATTTCACTAAAGAAAGAAAACTCCATGGGAAAACACAAAAATGGCTGTCACTGCATGGTGGAATTATAGGTAACTTTTTCTTTTTTATACTGCAGCTTTCAATTTTTTTTTTTTTTTTTTTTTTTTTT